ATCATTGGTTATTTGCAGGTATATTAATTTTAAGTCGTGCCCGACTTTGCTCAAGGCGTAGTTTAGGACACAAATGCACACACACGACTTTCTCTTGGGCTACCTTACAATGAGACCCCTTTATTTCGTGCAATCCCGTGTAACTTACATGTACCCCTCTCCCATTCCGATGTATGTTTCACATTTCTTTGATTATCGGTTTATCTCCTAGGGGCACCCATAGGGACTAGAGCGGATCAAACTATTTTCAAACTAATTCTCGATTCATCATCGAGTCACTTTCAAACAACCTCGTAAGTCGAGTGCTCATACGCATTCGCCATCAACCTATTACACACAACTCGACCCTTGATGCGTAAGTCAAGTCGGTCTCTTTTTTCAAACTGTTTCATTTCTAACACGCTTTGCACGCGATAATGAGTCAAACCCTTGATCCAACGTCAAGAGGATTTTCGAAACAAACTATCAATCAACTAACAACTATTCAATCCTTTTCAAGGTGTAAAGAGTGGGTTCAAGTCTTTGAGCTTGCTTTCGGCTGTTTATATGCGAGTTATCTTATTCGTGTGTGAGCAATTGACGCCTTTAAATAACATTAACAACTCGACATCGTTCAACTATCTCCAACTCAAACAACTTTCCTTTCACGATGAAAAAGAGAGTGTCCCAAGTCTTTGGTATGCTCTCCCAATTACTTGGGGTCTGAGAAGTCTTTCTTAAGCTTCAAGTAATTGTCATCATTTCAAACACCATTCGAACACAACTTCCTTTACGATGAAAAAGAGAGTATCCCAAGTCTTTGGTTCGCTGTCCTGATTACTTGAGGTCCGAGAAGCCTTTCTTAAGCTTCAAGTAATTGTCATCATTTCAACCTCATCCTTTCAAACATAACCCCCTTTCAAGATGAAAAAGAGAGTGTTCCAAGTCTTTGGTTCGCTCTCCCGATTACTTGGGTTCGAGAAGTCTTTCTTAAAGCTTCGAGTAATCATCATCCGTACCCACTTCAATCCAATTCAAATCTAGTTTCTTTCGTGGTTGTTACCACGAACTACGAACGCTCTGATTCTTCATTCACTCTTGAATGTAAGATACGTAGGCACAAGATTGCGATGATCTTGGAGAGCACAATCCCCTCCATCTTCCATTTCCCTCATCCTTTCCCGTAGTCGAACTACGACGCTCTGATTTCTCGTTCTCGTCCGAATGAGCATACGTAGGCACAAGGGCCCCAATCCTTGGCGAGCACCCTATCCTCTAACCATCCCCTTTCCCCTAGCGTCTTTATCCCTTTAGTATCCTTTTAGTCTTTAGTAGAGAGAAGAGAAGAATTAATTTTAGCTAACATCTATCACAACTCAAATTAAGAGGTTCCCGTTGAGTACAACGGACGTGAGGGGTGCTAATACCTTCCCCTCGCGTAACCGACTCCCGAACCCAGGAATATGGTTGCGACGGCCATGTTCCTTCCGTGTTTATGAGGTTTTCTCGATATTTTCCTCTCACGTTCATTCGGGAAAAATAAATTTCGGTGGCGACTCTGTCGAACCGCATTTCCGCGCCTTTCGCGCGAGGGTCGTATGTTCGAAATGAATTTTCGAGGTGCGACACCTATGGATTGAACCTATGACCTTTTCACATATTCGTCAGTTTTTTAAAATCGAAAGGTAAAGTGTGTACTTTTTATGACGTCATTCGTTATCTCGCATCTGTAGTCAAGATTAAATGCATTTCATGTCGGAGGTTAAATGTGTTTTTTTTCTAATAGTGTATGGAACATATAACCACGGTTGAGTGAAACCACTGTAATTGTTATACTTTTATTTTTTAAATAACAATAAACGTTGAAGAGACACACACATATTTTTATTAAAAAATTGGAAAAATATTAATGTTGGGATTCAAAACTTGCCATTCAAATTTTATAACCACAATTATTTTTAGGACTGTGATGAAAACTTTCTTAATAAAATATAAAAAGAAAATATGCACATAAAAAATATGATATGATTATGGTTGAAAAATGACCGTTGTAATATTGAATTATCGAAGATGTATTTTTTAATAGTTAAACTTTTTATCAAATATCGTCTTGCGAGTTTTGATATGATTCACTAGGTGAAATGTTTCTTAATATTTTTGAAGGATTTGGTTATGTCGATGATGGTTCTTGGTGTCTGCTATCCTATGAAATTTTGTAATTTTGGCTTTGTTTCTGTCTTTAGGTAGAGCTGATATGTAAAATTTTGGCAATATAAATGACTACACCATTTGAGAATGCCGCTCTCCGAAATAGCTATGGTTGATTGCATGGTTTTAAATTGCGGTTACAATTGTGGATACTGTTGTAATCATTGCAGTTGCGGCTGTTGGGGTGCGGATTGCGGTCGTTGGACGTAAATTTATTTTTTATCAATATAAAATAATGAGCTATATTTTTTTTGATAAGCAGATAATATTAAAAAGGAGATTAAGGAAATCTCAAACCAAGATACAATTGCAAGTATTCGAAAGGGAATTTGAACCAATCGCACAAGCAACACGGCTTGCTCCCCTTCCTGCCTAGAATCAACCAATTCCAAGAATTGAGTTTAATATCGAAAACAATACTGTCGACCTCAGTAACTACATTATTAAAAATACAAGCGTTTCTATACCTCCAGATATTCCAGTTATTAATAAACCAGATCGAATTAACTCTATTCGCTTGACACCGACCTCTAAGGCTTGTGTTCCACACCTTAGCGTGAGAATAACAACAATTTTCCGAAATTATGTCTATATCCGTCCATTCACAGATCTTGTTCCAAACCTAAGTAGATTTATAGCACGAGAAAAAAAGATGGGAAACGTCCTCCAGGCTACTGGAACAAAACACACAATCGAAATCTTGCTCGGAATCAAGCACCCTTCTCTTCAATAGATTAGATCTCGTAGGCAATCTATCAAGCGCCAATCTCCAACTGAGCGTTTGCACTTTCGTCGGAATAACCGTCTTCCAGATGGACTCAATATGGGATGCACAATCTGAGCCAATGTCTTGTTCAGATAGAGAGGGATATAGGATTGGATAAAGAGAGCTAACCTTGAAAATCAGAGATTCATGAAGACTCCACCGCCATTTGTCGGATTCACCCGGGATAACTGAGATATTTTCCAGCAACTTATAGCAGTCAGACCAATCTGGTTCAGGGGGATTGTCTAAATCCAACAACGAATTTCTCAGGTTCCAAATCCACTGCCCATCCTCCCAGTATCTCATATTACGGACTGACACTGACTTCAAAGGGCAGCACTCAAACAAGCCATTAAATCTGACTTTTAGCGGCATGTCGCCGATTCAGATTGACTGTGAGAACGCCACATCATTACCTTCACCAATTAAGTAGATCGTGAACTTGCAGAAGTTGGACTGAGATCTTAGTGACGCATTGGTCATAATATCCTTCATCCACAATGAATCTGATTTCAAACTAACAACATCAGAGTAAGTCTGCGTCTTAATGCTAAGGTTACCGTATCTGATAGTGAGGGTGTTTCTCCATATTTCATTGCCGCCAGTTTGGAACCTCCAGAGCCACTTTGCTAAGAAGGCATTGTTGAACCGACCCACATGCTTAATACCCAGACCGCCATCTTCCTTAGATCTACAAACAAAATTCTAAGAAACCCAAGGGATAAAAGAATTATTCGAGTTCCCAGCCCATAAGAACCGCCGTTGGATCGCTATTAAGACCTTCACGACCTTTTGAGGAGCCTTGAAGAAAGCCAGATAGTGGATAGGCAGATTTGCAAGAACCGAATTAATGAGGGTAACTCTACCCCCCATAGATAAGTTTCTCCCATTCCAGATGGAAAGTTTATTTCAGACACAGTAGAACCGGTTTTCAGAAAGAGTATCTCCGATGGTTACTTCCAACTGTGATACCAAGGAAGTTAAAAGGCATCTTTCCGGATTTACAATGAAGAAAATCTTCAGCATTATGTATTAAGTTTAACATGTTTTTTATTATTGCATGCTAATGCGGTCTGCTGCGGACAAATGCAGTCGTTGCCATATTATGATTCGGCCGTTGCAGCGTTATTATGCAGTTTTTAGCGTGATTTACAATCACACCGCAATTACGACCTAATATTTATGTGGACACTACCGCAACCACAATATTACGACCGCATCAAATAATGCGGTGCGCAATTTAAAACCATGGTTGACTGTATGTACTCTGATTTCTAACCTATGACTTTCCGCTAATAGCAAGTAGATATATACATAATAACTGAACTGCTTCATTTCATAGCCTCCAATCTTTACTACTCAAAATCAATCAAGATCAACGAACAATTATTTCATATTTAAAGATAAGATAGAGTTAATACAGATTAACTCCTTCCAAACTACCAAATAATGGTTCCGTATGGATTCCTATTTCCATCCATTATATATAGACCACACTTTCATACTACTTTTCTCATCCTTCACTACCAAATATCACATTTCACAATGGATTCCAAAAACGTTTTCCTCATCCTTGGTCTATTGGCCATGGTTCTTGTTATTTCATCAGAGGTTTCAGCTAGGGACTTAGCAGAGACTTCCACTAATGCCAAAGAGGGTAGGTTAGCTATACATATTTTATATTTAGTCTCCAAAATAAGAGACACATTTATTTCATTAAAATTTATTAAAATTCGTAATCTTTTTTTCCGCAAGCCTCTGTTAGACTATTTTTTTTCGTGAGCATTTTAAGGCTATTTTATAACGTTGGAGTTTTTTTGTTTCTTACTTATAGAAAGAAATAGATATCTATACTGAAAATGAATTAGATTAAGATGAAATCAATGATGCCAAATATTTGTATTTGCAGAGGTTGTTGAAAAGTCAAATGAAATAAATGATGCCAAATATTATGGTGGAGGCTACGGTGGTTACCACAATGGCTATGGTGGTTACCACAATGGTTACGGTGGTTATCACGGAGGGTATGGCGGTTACCATGGCGGAGGTTATCACAATGGTTATGGTGATTACCATGGTGGTGGTGGTTACAATGGTGGTGGTGGTTACGGTGGTTATCATGGTGGTGGTGGTGGTTATGGAGGAGGCTACGGTCACGGTGGTGGTTACAATGGTGGTGGAGGAGGAGGTTACGGTCATGGTGGAGGTGGTTACAACGGTGGTGGATTTGATGATCGTAACTGATTATATCATGATGCATGCATGTGTTAAGTGTAATAAAATAAATAATGTTGGGTTGAACAAAAGAGGTGTAGATAGACATCCTTTGTGGTTATGTATCATCTATCTTGCCACTTTATAGGATACATATAAATCACTATGTCTGTCATGTGTAATATATCAAATCAAATAAAACGGTTAGTTGTTGGAATTTTTTCTTTGTGCCTGTTTTTGCTGGTTTGTTAGGCATAACCGTGTAATATCAAACAATAATGCTATTTACACCAAATATTTATATCAAACATTATTCAAAGTATAAATACAATGAACATTGTTTTTAATTTTTTATTAATAAAAAAATCTTTTAATTTGAAGAATTATTTTTATAACATAAATATGAAATTTATTATTAACCAATTTTATTATTATATTAACTATAAAAATATATGTTATTAATTACATATTTTACTTATAATTCATTAAAAAAAATTTCTACTTTATTAATCAAGTTCTGACATTAAAATATTAAATATAATAAAGTGTAAAGAATGGTTATTATATTTCATAATTTAATGTTAGACGTTGGTTAATGTTATGAAATTTATTGGTAATAAAGTAGTAAATTTGGTTAATCTATAGACTGATTTTTTTTCTTCTAATTTTATCCTTTGTCAATTGTTCCAATTACTATTAATTATTAAAATAAAAAATAAAAAACTAAATCACTTACTAATTAATAACCTCGTAACCAACCCGTGTACCAATACCAAAACAGTTATCAAAATACTTCTATTAAAAATAACTATATCTAAATAACCAACAATAACTCCTTCAAGTGCATGCTCAATTCTTTAAATTTTAATATCTGCAATTTTTATCTTTTACTTATTTAATAATTAAAATTTGCAATATAATTCCAGGTTTTATCTTTCTTTCCTCCTTCTCTAGATGTATAATTCTCATTTTTCTTCTTCACATATTCATTAAAATTACTGTATTTTTTGGTGTGAATATAATCCTTCTTTATTTTAAAGTTATCCTTAGTCTTAACCTTTATATACCACTATTTATTTCTCCTTCAATCAAATAGCATACTTTTTTAAATCATCACATGTATAATTGTTTATACACAACCTCCAAAGTCATATTCATGCATTACTAATAATAGTTCCTATTTTGAATATTGTATACGTTTACTCTCCACTCTCCAATATACATCAAGATAAATGTGGTAAAAATAAAAGTAACTTGCAGTGGGTTCTTCTGCAATACTCTTTATATAACTCAAACCTATAGTATAAGATGTTTGCATGGACAATTGTTATCATATGCTACAAGTTTTTCAAAAAAATTTGTTGGATCTTCTCAATTCATATCATTCATAAATTACAGATTGAAGGCAAAAAAAAATAATAATAATTGCCATACTTTTTGTTTTTTAGATAGATTTATTTATCATATTTATTGTTGTTGATAGAAACATTTTAAAAGAAATTTACCGTGGAGAAAGGTTAAACATGGAAAATAGAAATTCTTGATCGCCAACATTTAATTCACTCATTTCTTCATTTTCTTATGTTATTTACTTTTTTTAATTTGCTCTCTTAATATGTACTAATGGATAAACCGGATAGGTCAGTACTCTTCTTTTCAAATTTATTTTAAATTAATTGCAAAATTTTCAAGAAGAGATATATTTAACATTTTTTATGGTTATCACTATATGGTAATTTTATTACATCCATAACTATCTTTTAAATTGTTGTTTTTAATCCTATATGAGCAATCAATTATATTTTAGTTTTTGCGATTTTTTTCTTTAACTACGTTCGCATTTTCTCTTAAGTAAATACTCACTAATTTTAATTTTAAATGGTGAACTTAATTAATCACTAGAGTCTAGTGAGAGAGATATATATTTAGAGAGAAACATTTTATTTAGTATTTTATTTTACTTTTTATAAGTTTTAAGTGTCACATTTTATTCAGAGAATATTTTTTTATAATTTATTAGTATTTTTTTTATAATAAATTAAATAAAATATTCATTTATATTTGGACGCTAGTGAATTATAAGTAAAATATGTGGTTAATAACCTATATTTTTTTTTAATACAACACAAATTTTATATTTATGTTATAAAATTAATTTTAAAAATAAAAATATTTTTATTTATAAAAAAATATAAATAAAAAAACGGTGAACAATGTTGATGTAAATATTTAGTGTATATTATGAGTGTAAAAATAACATTGCTCATAGCACATTATTGATCAACATTGATGTAGTCAGAAGAATTTATTGCCTTTTCGTGATTTACACCAACCAAGAAGAATTATGGCCCGAATTCTCAGAATAGGGTGAAGGTTCTTGATTTTGCTAACATGAATTGCAATCATGGAAATCTCTTTTGAGATTTTAATCAGATTTGATCTTTTTTCTCTATCTGTTTGCACTTTATTTCACACTTATCATGATCAATGAGTTTGGCTATCAGTTTTTCAGAAATGACAATCTTCTTTCTAAAAAGAAATGAAGTAACTTGGAGGGTAAATGTCTTAGCATGAATCCAAAATTCTCGAATAAGATGAAAGAAAATTGGACCTTAAAGACATTCAATGTACTTCTCACAACCTTGAATGATAGTAGTTAAAAGATCAAGTTGTCAAACTCAACCACGAGTTCGCCGAGAACTTCCAAATCTTTTGCAGGAGTGGATAAAGTAATTTCAGAAGTACCATAGGCATCTTCCGTGAAAACATATTTCCTATATCTTGAAATAGACTATGTCTTATATGTTTAGAGAAGACGAGACATATATGGTGGTTGTTATGAAGATGAAGAACCACGAATAGACCTTTGACGAGTTGCAGTACGTTGATGTTGTTTGGTTTGATTCTGTTTTTGAAAAATACTACAAACTGAACCAAACCAAATCGTTGGAGATACCACTAGTTCGGACTTTTTTGATAGAAATTGAATCAAAACCAAACCGATTACACCCCAAATTGTAAGACAAGAAAATATTTTTATTTAGAAAATCAATGTGTTTTAAAAGGAGGAGAATTGTCCTTTATATAAGAAAAAATCAAGGTAAAAGACAAAATAATTTATGGCTTAAGTCAAACAAAAAAAACTTTAAACTTCAACTTCACTTAATCAATTACAAGTTTCCTTAATCAATTAAAAAGTGCTACACTTTGTTTTTTTTAACAATTAGCATAAAGGCTTATCAATTAGTCAGTATATTTTGTTTTCCTAATTGATCAATCAAACTTCTTTATTTGCTTAAGCACATGCACAAATTAGTTTTGTGAAATATTATAAAAAATATATAAGAAGTTTAATTTATGTGAAACAACATAATTATTGAAATATCTTATACAATTTATAGTTACACTATAAAAAATATTGTCATTTTTCACATAATTTTCACGTCACTAAGTCCAAAATTATGTCACTAACCAAAATTTACGTGGACAGAGCACACCGGAAAAGCAACTGTGAGAACTTTTGTTCCACGCGAAATTCATGTCACTTATTAGTGACAAGAATTTCACGTCACAAACCACAATATTATTTTGAAATGTTCCCTTGTGAAATTCATGTCGCTAATTACCTTTCTGAACCAAGACTAAATTCTGCGTATGGTGTCAGCATGAAAATATTCCCATGTGATTTCTACGTCACTAATTAGTAATATGGTTTTCACGTCCCAAAACCCAAACCTATTTTAATTTTAGTGACGTAAATTTCACTTCACTAATGTATTTAATAAAATGTAAAAATTAATAAATATCATGAATAAAACAAATTAATAAATAATAAAATATAAAATTAAAATCTATATAGTACTCTTCTATTTTTAATAAATCTATATATTTATTTTGAACATAAATTATGGTCTATAAAATCTAATAGAATTGTTTAATATTTAGTTTTTAATTAATATATGATATATTTGTTTTTATTAAATTAATAATTTGTTTTTAATAAGTATTACATATTCTGTTTTTAATAAAATATAATAAAATATATATTAAAAATAAAATATATAATATAAAATCTATTTTTATATTCTGTTTTTAATTAATATATAATATATTTGTTTTTATAAAATTAATATATTTGTTTTAAATTAATATTATATATTCTATTTTTAATAACATATAATATAATATATATTAAAAATAAAATATATAAGATAAAATCTATTTTTATAAAGTCAGTATTTAAAAATATAAAATATGAGTTTATAAAATCTGCTTTTATGAAATCTGGTTTTATAAAATATAATATAATATATTATAAAATCTATTTTTTATAAAATCTATATTTAAAAATACATAACATGATATATTTGTTTTTAATCAAATCTGTATTTAAAAATAATATATATTAAAATAAAATTATTTTCGGATTTTATGATATATTAATTATTTGATCTAATAAAATTTAATACTATATATAAATTTTAACCTAATAATTAAAACCTGAATATTTTAATAATTATACTACAACAACAAACAACTAACCATCAACAATTAATTTCATAATTAAAATCTGAATAAATAAATAAAATTATTATAAAATTATTAGATTTTGCAGCATACCATATTAAACTTGAATAAAAATTGAAGCTTTAGCTTGATAATTTTCTCCAATAAATATTGAAAATCTTGAATGTTTTAGATCTTGAAACAAATAAAGAGAAAAATATTATATTTATGAAATCATAAAATAAAATGAAGTAATAAATAAAACCTTGACATACTTATATTAAAGGTGAAAAAATGTTAACGAAGAAGTGATTTGTGGGTATTGAGAGAGAAGAAAATGGAAGAAATAGAGAGCAAAGGGCGAGGGAGAAGAAAGTGAGAAAAACAGAGAAGGGGCGAGAGAAGTAATTGAGAGAGGAAGAGAAAAATATTTTGTAGATTCTGAAAATTGTGCAAGTTTTATATATAGTAGTTTGTTCTGACGTGGGAAACATGTCACTACTTTACAACGTGGAAATCACATG